AATCAATTCTCATTTTCAACCACACATTCTTCAATAAAATAATTTTTTCCATCACATCAATAACTTTTCCTTCATTTTTAACCACACATTCTCCATCAATCTACTATTCAATAATACATTCTTTCAAAAGAATGTGTCCCAAACACACTATAAGAATCACTTTTTGAACAATTAAGTTTTTGTATTAAAAATTTTCGAAAAATGTAACCCCTTTTTAAAAACTCAAAACATATTTGGTAAGTTGTAACTTAAAAAAAGGAACTTTGAAACTTAGCCAAACATGCTCCAATCTAGTCAATTCAAGGTTGAATTTTTTTAAAAAAATTACGAGTAAAATTAAAGGAAAAGTCACTTTGCCATAAGAAGACATCCAAAGCAGTGCCAAAAGATATGTGTTGAGAGGTGATTGGAAGGAAGAAATTATTGTATTTTAAACTGTCGAATGATAGAATATCACGTGACATTATATGAACCATTATGTCAAATATGTTGTATATGTAGCATGGTTCAAAATTAAATCTGTTAATAAAAAGTTTTAGACCAGCAAAGCAAGATCCAATTAATAAATTAATTAAACATGATTACACTCATGATATAGATATCTATCTACTATAATATTTTAAACTCGAGACAAAAATCGTGAACTTAAAATTACTCGATTAGAATACGGTCCACAACGTTGAAGTCTAACGGGTTATTTACTTATGTTTTTAAAATAATTGAATCCTCGTTATGGTCTTTGATCGTTGCATATAAATATTTGTCTATCAATGATCAACCAAACAAATTATGAGCGGGAGACAACCCGAGAGTCTCTAATTATAAAACTGTATCGAATTTCGTGATTATTGGTAGCCTTCGCTCTTTGAAAGTTATAGACTTGAGGAAAAGGAAATCAATCGAGACCCATTAGAGATCTAGCTGGTGAGCTCAACCTCAACCGAGAACATGTTGCACTATAGAATTAATATCTGTTTCTAAATTAATTTATAGTATGTCTAAATACAAGGTATACCAATATTAACTACATGCAATGTATGCACTATGATTCTTGATCCTCGGCTAAGTGAAACTTGTGCGAAGAGAATAACGTTTTCGATAATCGAATATTGTGATTATATTATATCTAGTTTACACGATGCATTTGGACACGTTGACCTGAAAGAGACGACCAATGTGGGAGCATGTGCTCAAACTCTGTTGTAAAACAAAGAGAAGCAGATCTTTTCGTGGGGACAAAGAAATTACTTAAAATTATGTAATATATGCGTACGTAAATAATTAGATCAATTATGAAAATTTGTCATTTTTGAATGGTTTCTAAGGATAAAAAGCCCGTTTTACAATTATAAAATAATGATTTGTTGGACAATGTGTGGTTAAAAAGTAAAGAACTTTTTTTGAAATATGTTTATAATTATTTTATAGGAGAATGTGTGGTTGAAAATGAGTTTTGAAAGTGTGGGATTCGAACCGGTTCGAATGATGCTTTCATAATTTGTGTTAAAAACGTGTTTTGACAAATGCAATTTTATTAAAACCACACTTTCAACTGGACCGCGACACATGGATGAATCTTGCCTGTTGGTTTGAATTCTAGATGGTTCTATTCCTCATGCCATTCTCATTTGGCAGATTTTCGAGGCTGAGGGTTTTCATTCTGTTGTCTCTGTGAGGGTTTTCTCTGATTTTGTTTTCTCAGTAATTCATTCTCAGATTCTTGATTTGAGGAGGCGATCTGAAATAGTTTAGCCTCTTTGCGGTGATATTTTGAGTGAATATCTGTAAGGAAGTTTTCGTGCTTCTGAGTTGTTTTTGAGGTTTTGAAGCAATTCTTTGTGATACGTGTAGATCGATTGCTGTATTTTGAGAGAGATAAGTGTTATGTACTATTTTTTGTGATTTGGCTCAACATCTTTGTAACATTTGTTGCCATTTTGGACGTTATAGTGGAACCGAGCATAATCCAATCTTTTGGATGCTCAACGGGGATGTAGATGTTTGAAGTTGTCATCGAATCTCCGGATCTTAGGTCGAAATATATTGATTGTGTTTCTTTAATTTTCTGCTCTTTATTTTAGAGTAACTTTGGTGTCTTTGTTTCTCGATTTAATGTTGTGTGTTATTGACCTAACAAAAAGAATGTATTTTGAAAAATTGGGGCTCAAACAGGGGATTTAAGATTGTTATACAAGGGTTAATTACCCCAATGGTCACTGAACTTTACCTAAAGTTTTTACCAGATCACTGAACTTTAAAACCTACGCGGTTAGTCACTGAACTTTTGAAACTGTAACCCATCCATCACCGAACTAACTTCTGTTAAAAAATTTAACGGAACTGATTATGTGGCTAACGGAATATCTTACGTGGAACGTTTGTGAGTGACATCAAATTTTTGGTGATGGACGGGATTGTAATTTCGAATGTTCAATGACTAACCCCATAAGATGTATAAAGTTCAGTAACCTGGTGGAAACCGTAGGTAAAGTTCAGTGACATAGGGTAATTAACCTACTAACTGTATAAAGTATAGTGACCTGGTGGAAACCGTAAGTAAAGTTAAGTGACAATTAGGGTAATTAACGTAAGTTTGAAGCTAAGTTGCTCATGATATTTATTGGGAATCTCTTTATCGTAATACATCAAAATAGTCTGATTAGTAAGTCTCTTTCTTTATTGTCCCAAATGCGTCGCAATGCCAATGTTGTTTTGGCATCTCTTGTTCACATGCTTTGTGGTTTCAGACTAGTTAATGTGCTTACATCATAATTCTTTTGTCCAAAATTGAATAACATGGATATCTAATTGACATTTCTTCTTCAAAAACCCTTCGTTGATAGTGCTGAGCATCTTATAGAAGATGTTGTATTTGCAATTCTGGCTAGTGATAGTCTTGAGTAATATATTTTAACAATCATTACATCTACTTGTGAAGATGGAATTGCAGCCTTACTACAAACTTCTTTTGTCCAAAATTGAATAACATGGAGATCTAATTGACATTTCTTTTTCAGAAACCCTTTGTTGATAGTGCTAAGTATGTTGTATATGTGATTCTGGCTGGCGATAGTTTTGAGCAATATATTTTATACTCCCCATGTCCTAGGCATTCATGCTTTAAACTGAATTCAACATCTAGACATCAGGCAAGCAAATTAATCATATATGTGCAGCTGAAACTTAGTCATTATATGTTGGTCATTATTCGATTTAAGAATCCTCAGAAGCAAACCAGGAAATGAATTTTTTTAAATAAAATTCCTCACCTTGTATAAAGTTAGTTTTTTGTAGTAAGACTGCAGCTCCATCTTCACAAGTAGATGTGATGGTCGTTAAAATATATTGCTCAAGACTATCACCAGCCAAAATCGTAGATACGACATCCCCTGTAAGATGCTCAGCACTATCAACGAAGGGTTTCTGAAGAAGAAATGTCAATTAGATTTCAATGTTATTCAATTTTGGACAAAAGAATTATGATATAAGCAGACTTACCAATCTGACACCACAAAGCCCGTGAACAAGAGACCCCAAAACAGCGTTGGCATTGCAATGCCTCTTGGACAATAAATAGACTTACTAGTCATACTATTTTGATGTATTACGATAAAGAGATTCCCATTAAATGTCTGGAGTAACTTAGCTTCAAATTTAGGTTAATTACCCTAATCATCATTTAACTTTACCTACGGTTTCCACTATGTCACTAAACTTTATACATCATACGGTTAGTCATTGAGCTTTCGAAACTACAATCTCATCTTATTACTAAAAATTCCACATCACTCACTAACGTGCCCGTAGGATATTATGTTAGCCACATCATCAAATCCATCGAGTTTTTTAACGGAAGTTAGTTCGGTAATGGATGTGGTTGCGGTTTCGAAAGTTCAGTGACTAATCACGTAGTTTTTAAAGTTTAGTGACCTGATGGAAACTTTAGGTAAAGTTCAGTGATCATTGGGGTAATTAACCATTATATTAACTTAAAAGTATGTAGAATCAACTGAATGATTTTCTGCACATATTCTGTTTTTAGTTTCCACAACTGTCTTTCAAGATGAGATTCTTGTGCCCTAATAGGCTAATATACTATTGCTTGCCTTTTATAATTATGATATCGATTTTTTAAATATAATATAATATTTTCATGATTCTTGTTCACTCTTCTCGAGAAGAGGCAATCGAATCTGTCCCAAGAAATAAACCCTGAAATCGGGTATTGAATACAAATCATATCATTTTTGGTATGCTCTCCTACATAGAATTCGATAAGTTGACAAGATTTTAGCATCTTTTATTTTTACGGTTCATTTTAGCGAGTTTAAATTTGATCACGAGCTAGGGACACACTACACTAGGCATATAAGTCAGATATAGCCCTCGTTTGGTAGTAATTTTATTCTAAATCAGAGTCAACAATCAAATTTAATAACATATTTGATAGGATCCACAATTTCAATCATACATTTTATCAACTTTTATCAAAATTTATTAAAAAATCTAATTTTAATCTCTACCAAACAAGGACATAGTATAATTCTTTCCATGCATTTCCTTTGATATGTGTCCGTTATGAAAAGAATTACATACGCAAATAATGGCGAGAAAACACACATGGCAAGAGACGTAATAACAAAATAAATAAATAAATAAAGATGTGAGGCCCACCTCAATCAAGCAGATCACATGTAAAGTTCCAGTTAATCATATCCAATGGTCATGATTAAACGACTATAATATCATCGCAGATCAAGAGCCCTCAAATCCGCTCATTTTCAACTTTATTAATCTTGCCTGTCCATTCTAGTGTATTAGGTAGCATATAGTACCCCCACCATTGTATCTCATGTGACCGACAATAAATCTTTGCTTGACCTGGCATTGCTCTCTTTGTGTACTCACTCGATAACATGTATAAAAACCAACTGTTTGATGGAAAAAATTCATCCAATTCTTTCACATAATTCGTGTATTCTACTAGTGATTGTCTGAAAATGGCTAAGGATGGTTTAGGACTAGAAATTGAACTAACGTTGGCTCTTCCCGGAGGTGGTGGTGAATCTGGTGGTTCGATGGAGAAAAAAGGGAAGAAAAGGGTGTTTTCTGAATTTTCCGGTGACGAGACGAGGGAGGCGAAGAAGAATCAAGTTGTGGGATGGCCACCGGTATGTTCTTACCGGCGGAAGAATAGCTTTAGTGAGGAAGAGGGAACGAAAATGTACGTGAAAGTTAGCATGGATGGTGCCCCTTTTCTTCGCAAGATTGATTTGAGTACACATGAGGCGTATTCTAGTCTTCTCATGTCTCTTGAAAAACTCTTTTGCTGCTATATTGGTCAGTAATTCTATTCTTTCAAATTACTATTTATTTCCTGATTTGGGATTTTGGACTGTTGGGGAAGGAAAATTCTATTGATGCTTATGCATTTTCGCCATGCAAAATTTCCAAGTGTCAAAAATGGTTTTGCTCAAACTGAATTTTAGTATTTTAAAAAATATATATATATTTAGTACGTAGAATGAATGTAATGTAATCATTAAACATGTCACGTGTATCCGTAAGCAGGGACGGATGGGGGCTGGGCTGGGCAGGGCAGGGCTACAGCCCCCTCCCTCTCCCCGATTGATTTTTTTTAGGAGTTCTGCTGCTGTGTCAGGTCGGTAAAAGACCTGGCACAGCCATGTGAGATATGGTGGGTGGGTGTTTTAACATTTTTGGGGGGTTTTTTTAATGAGTTAGGTTCTCGGGACCCACCTTATGTGAGATAGTCTGTACAAAATCTGTGAACCAAAATCTGGTAGAGTAG